GCAGCATTCAAGACAAGATAGAAATTCCTAAGCATAGCATTCAAGGTCTTTGTAAATCGACCTTTCCTGATCCCCAAGCGTGAGTTTCCTGGCTCTCCCTGACCTCACAGCCCTGGCATGCCCTGTCTTTGACCCCCATGTACTGTTATTCATGGTTGAGAGACTCCCTGACTTTGTCCTTCCCAGTGCCAGAGACAGACCAGGATCCAGTCTAGTCGAGAATTCTTTCTACCATACTGCACCCTGTACCCTGATGCTAGTGTGCACAATGACTCGCAATGAAGAAACCTTGGTCAGTCTCTAAGGAGGGGGTTTCAGTTCCTTAGCTTCCACCTCTTCCACCTTCTCCTTACCTAGAAGGGAGCCCCCGCAGAAGGGCTGCCCATTCAGGTGTGACAGCATGGCAATCCAGGGAGTGGTACCCTGCTGGGCTGGGCGTCCATTGAAGATCCTGGCCATCAGCTTCCGGGAGAACTTGGGCAGCCCACACACTGCATCCAAGGGAGGGAGGGAGAGACAGATCAGACTCTGGACTATATCTTGCCCACTGCCAGAGCTCCCAACTCATCACCCTGTTAGGAACATCTATTATTTTTGCTCCTCCAGCATTAATTGACCTTCCTGATAATAGCATCTCAATCTTTCTTTGGAGTCTGCACTTTCCCCATTCTTAGGCTATGCAGTTAGAGTTGGATTGATCTCACCTCTGGTTTCAGGGATAGAAATGTGGCTGATCAAAGCCATGCACTTTCTGGTCACAGCAATTGCTCAGAGATGGGAATGTGACCTTGGCTGGACCAATGAAAGCCTGACTTGAGAATTTTGCTAAGCATATTAGAGAAGAGAAAGTCATTCCCTACTGGAGTTGCCAAGCTATTAGCCATAAATCCAGATCTGTCAACAATCATTTCATTAAGAGTCTACTGAGACTGATGAAGAAAAGTGGAGCTGACAGTTGAGGGGCAAAGAGAGAGAGAGAGAGAGAGATTGCACCATAACAGTTGAGCCCTTTGATCTAATCATACGTGAAGCCTTTTGGTACAGCCTTTTCAGTTAGATGTGCCTATAAATTACCTCTCTTTTTTCCCCTTAAGCTGCTTATGTTGGCTTTATGTCACTTACTAATGAAAGAGTCACAGCTAATAAGGAATCATTATGCTCCATCCAAGGAATCTTGTCTCCTGAGAGAAGCCCTTCCTCAGGGCCTTGTGGAGCTGAAGATCCTCACCACCACAGTGTCTGCCTGCTCCATCCCATTTTCCACTGGCTTGAATTGACACACATGCTCCCACATACACACTTTACAACTGAATAGCCCTTGGAGACCATCTGGTCTATCCCTCTTATCATTCAGCTAAAGAAACCAAGGCCCGGAGAAGGAAATTGACTTGCCAAAAGGTATTCCATGAGTTAGTGGCAAGACTATCAATCTAGGTCTCCTGACTCCCAACTCTGGGCTTTTCTTACTCTGGCCAGCCCCATAAACTTTTAACTATGTGGCTTCCCAGAACACTCATAACCCAAGCCCCTGGATCCAGGCAGTTACCTGCTACCTTTTTAGCTGTGACTAGGCTGGAGAAAATCACAGATAAATGCTCTGCATCTACAACCTTGATGCAGCCTCAGCATCTCCCAGCATCATTCTACATGCCCACAGCCAGCTTCCCCAAGCTAATGTCCTGCCTCCATTCCCAATAGACTCTCAGAGCCCACTGAGTGGGAACTCCCTGAGTGGGAATCCCACTGAGTGCAAACCATCCTCCTCACCATCTCTTCTCCCTGTAAACTTTGTTGTCTTCAGAACTAATTTTTCACTCTGGATCTCTTAACTTTTGAACTCTTGGAGACCTGGCCTTGGAGATTATCACCCCTCTTCTGTATTTTTCATCTCTCCTTATTCTATGCCTCTAAAACACAGTCAAGACTTTTCATCCTAAAAATCAGCTTCCATTTCCCCGTTTGCCATTCATTCCACAGTCTCTCCTACTCCTCCCTTCTATAGTAGAGCTTCTGAAAAGACGAGCTGACACTCCTTTCCCACATTCTTCCTCCCCCTTTGGAGCTGTATTCAGAAGAAGAAAGTGCCATGTACTGCACAAACTTGGAAATAGGCAGCCATTTGAATATTTAACAGGTCTACAAATAGTAGATGGAAATAAAATGTCTCTGAGACCATAAATGGAACTTCAACCATGATATCTACATACAGAGTAGGATACTATTTTTCGAATCTTATCAGATACATTTTTCATCCCTAGGAATTCTCTGTGCACTGTGGCTCCCAAGCCACTGAAGCTGGAGCATCCGTGGTTTTAAGCAAAGGCTGGATAAGGCTTTGACTTGAAAGAGCAAAGCAGAAACCAAAGTCTGGAAAGACAGACTTTCATTTTGAAGAATCAGGCTTTATAGTAAGAATAAAAAATTTGTAGGTTTCAAGGAACCAAAAGATGGAGAACTGAACATGTAATTTTTACCACAAGGCTTACAGAAGATGCAAGGGCAGTTTCCTACCTCTGAGAAAAGAGCTAAAAGCCCATCCTGGGAGACTGAGAAGGCTAGAGAGAGAGAGAGGAAGGAGGGAGTACAGAGAGAGAGAGAGGGCTAAGGAAGAGAGAAGTCCTAGAGACTTGAAACTCACGCATGGAGCCTGCTGCCTGCATACCCCTCAGGGATGACAGTGGAGACTTGACACCTGTCCTGGGGAACTTCCTTCCTGGAGTCCTTCACTGGGACTCTTAGCAGCATTGGGTGCTGTTGACTACTTCATCCCTCTTTACAGCTCCTCCTCTTGGCTTCTGAAGCACTTTTCTCCCTGTGTTTCTGATCCCTTCCCTTTTTTTTTTTCTTTTCCTTGGGGCCTCTCTTTTCTTCATGCCTTCTGTGATGCTGGAGTTTCACCCATTCGGCCCCAGGCCTTGGTCTCCTTTTCTTATCTGTAAATTTCCCGTAGATGATGCCCTCTACCTCTATGCCATCATACTACCCATGTGCTGATGAATTTCAAATCAGTGTCTTTCAATCTGTCCTGTCCTCTAAAACTCACCATTCTTTACTGCTGACTTACATTTCCAGCTGGTTGCTCATAAACTCTTCCAACTCAGTGAAACCAAGCCCGAGTATCCACCCTTCACTAACCTTCTCCCCTTTCTTATTCCAGATGTCTGCTAATGTCTGAATCAACCACGTCCTTGTTGCCTCTCTTTTCTTCAACCTCGTGTTCAATCAGTCACTAAGCTGCTGGTAAATCCCTGGGAGAAGGAGAGGGATATGTCTCCCCGACTCCATGTCACAAAGTGCTCTGTGTGTAACCTCGTCATGCCTCAGTACCTCAATATGTCACAACATAAAGTCCAAGTATCTAAAGAAAAGCAAAAGTTGGAAATGTAATAGAACATGAGACACGACAGCCCTTCAAACCATAAAGTGCAAAGCATAAATATGCTCTTATTTTCATTCTCAATAGTGTAAAAAGAATGGCATTTTCATTATGGTACAAACCAAAAACAAAGGCAAACCATGAGTGCGTCCCATGGTGAGACTTCACTATCACATGCCACTCATGCTTGAACTTATCAAGAGATGCCTATAGGCCAAGCCCTGCTGAATGTACCACTTAAATCGATTTAAACTGCCCCTCGTCCTGTCTGCACTGTCACAGCCCTATGGCTGGTGGGTCTGCACCATCCCTCATCAGGACAGTTGCAGTAGTTGCATAACTGCTTTCCTAGCTCAGCTCCTTCCTTCCACTTTCCACACCATGCTGCCCACCCTCAGACCTACTGAATTCAAATTTTCCAGTGGGTGAGACCCAGCAATCTGCATTTTTCACCAGCACCCCAGGTGATTCTCATATGCCCCAAACTTAGAGAATCACTCATTTCAGGACAGTTCAAATAGAGTATGCCTTTAAAAACTCTTCCCACTCAATGCCCACCGCTCTCACTTTAACCATGGCCAGCTTTCATGCTTTGAAAGCTTTCATGCTTTTTTCCACTCTGCCCCTTCCCTCCTATCTCCCATGCATCCTTTGAAGCCTCTGCAAAGCTATTCCAAGCCCCTTCAGCTGTATGAAATAGCCCCTTCTTTAAGTTCCTATAGTACTTAAATCTCTGTTCCTTTTACATTTAACTTCTTTTTTTTTTTTTTTTTTTTTTGAGACGGAGTCTCGCTCTGTCGCCCAGGCTGGAATGCAGTGGCCGGATCTCAACTCACTGCAAGCTCCGCCTCTCGGGTTTACGCCATTCTCCTGCCTCAGCCTCCCGAGTAGCTGGGACTACAGGTGCCCGCCACCTCGCCCGGCTAGTTTTTTGTATTTTTTAGTAGAGACGGGATTTCACCGGGTTAGCCAGGATGGTCTCGATCTGCTGACCTCGTGATCTGCCCGTCTCGGTCTCCCAAAGTGCTGGGATTACAGGCTTGAGCCACCGCGCCCGGCCTACATTTAACTTCTTTTGCCTATTTAAGACCTATATGCACATAAGCTTGTCTTGCATGCCAGTTTCAACCCTTTGAAACTGGCACTAGAAACTAGCTGGCACAGAACATGTTCTCCGTGACGCTGTAGTTTCCTGAGCAGGACTCATAGCTGGTTCTGCACTCAGCGTGTGGCACCACATGTAACTTAACATACTGCAGGACATCTGACAAGGTCTGCATGCCGCTGCTGCTGATCTCATCCAATGTCACATTGGGACTGGAGATGCCCTAGCTGGTCACCAGGCCCAGCATGTAGGGGGCCGGGCCTTCAGGCTCAAGTCCTTTGAAGGCAAGGACTTAAATGCCAGGCACTTAAATGAAGGAACAAGCAGCCTCTGAGAAGAAGACCCATCAATAACCAAATCCTTTCCTCATTACCTCTTGGATAACGTCCAGATACCAAAAGTTGTACAAGTTTCTGCAACAAGGGAGATTTTGGTTTCATGAGGAGGCCAATTTCTTTTCAAAAAAGTCAAAACAAATGAACACACTTCCCCAACAATAACAAAACCTATAGCCAAGGCTGTTGGTTATCCATGAGGGTTTATTTCCACTTTAGACCCCTGATGGGAGCAACAATGCAGAGGCCCTTTACAGAGCGGTGAAGCATATCATATAAAAGATACAAAATATAACATCTTTACATGTGCCATTCATAGACATAGGAGTGTGCTTTGACGAGCTGGTTGGAGAAGTGGATACTTCCCAGTCATTCCCTCTCAGGGGCTTCTCTGGCTGTCTTGCTCTGATGGAGATTTCCAGGACAGAGAGCTCCAGGTAGAAGGAGGACAGTCAGCCCTGTGAGGGCCAGAGAGGCTGCTGGCAGTCAGGGAAGCTCTGAGTGCTCCAGCTAGAAAGACCCTGCAGGGGACCTAATACCCTCCTATTGCTGATGGAGAACCAGAGACTCAGAGAAGGAAAATGATTTCCCAAAGGTTATACAGCCAGCTGGGAGCAGAGCAGGGACTAGAACCCAGGACTCTTGGCTCTTTTCACTGCCTGCCATGGGTGAGCCTCTGATTCCTTTGACTGTGGAAAATGAAGGAGTGGGTCTCTCTGAACATTCTGTGGGGTGGATTCTCCTCCCAGCTTATGCCCTAGGGATGCCAGGCAGCCTGGCAGGATTTGGGTGACTTCTAATGTGCCCACCCCACTCTTTCTTCCATTTTCCTGCCCAAAAGCACAGCAGGATATGGTGTGGGTCTTTTCTTTTCCCAGGTAATCAGCTAAGTCCCCAAGTTTGGGTCTGGGGTTCAGGTAGTAGCCTTTTAGATAATATATTTCAAGGCTGAAAGATTGCTTTGTGCTTGTCTGGAGCAGCAGGTGTGGACATCCATGGTGTCAGCTGGTATTTCAAGGTGGCATATGGGCCCAAACGTGTTCTGAGTTGACAATGCGAATTTAAGGGCTTGGTGAGCCTCCCGCTGCTATTCTGCTCCCACCAGTCAGCACAAACCTTCCCAACTTTCTCCATGTCCTTTGAAATTCCTTTAATGGGGAACATAGGGATAAGGCTTAGACTGCAAGAAGCTTTTGGGAGAGAAACCCCAGGCAAGAAAGTTCTCCAAGGGATTACACTAGGAGAGAGGGGCTTGGCTATGAGCCATCTCCCAAAACCTGAATGCTCTTCTCCTAGAGGAAGGACTAGGCCAAGGCTAGTCCCAGAAGGCAGAGCAGGACAATATACAGATGCAGCATTCAGTTCAATGTTAGAAACCATTTTCTAATAGTCAGGTCCAAGCTCAGTCATACCAACAGTGGAACCGATGCGTTTGATAAGTGGTCAGGAGTGAATAAAGGCCACTGGGATAAGAAGTATGGCCTGGAGAGGAGTGCTGGGATGGCCTTGGTTTAGCTCCTGCATTGTGTTACTGGGGAGAGTGAGGCCCAGACAGGGGAAGAGACTTAGACAAGCTCAGGAATGCAGGTCTCCTGCCTAGAGCCTTTTCCTATACCACACTGCTGCCTCTCACGGTCCTGGGGGCTCTCTCTGTAGGAGAAGCCACCGCTAGGTCAGTGTGTTCCATTCCATTTGGTCTGATAAGTAATGTGGAGTGTGCTGTCGGAAGTGCAGTGTAGCTTCACTCAGGGGAGGCAGGCCCTGAGGAAGGAAGTCAGCTCACCGTTCCACCTGGGGCTCTGCCTTGTGGTGAGCCCATCTGCTCCCACACCCAGTCCACATAGTTGGAGACCTTTGTGTAGACTCCATAGACCTGCTTGCTGCCACATTCTTCAGGTCCCCCCCAGGACACCAGGCCTTGCACCACCCAGCGCTGGCTCAAGTCATCAAGGATGACAAAGGCCCCACCACTATCTCCAAGGCACGTGTCTTTGCCGCCCTCATAGTAGCCAGCACAGAACATGTTCTCCGTGACGCTGTAATTGCCTGAACGGGACTCATAGCTAGTTTTGCACTCAGCGTGAGGCACCACAGGTAACTTGACATACTGCAGGACATCTGACAAGGTCCGCGTGCCACTGCTGATGATCTCATCCACTGTCACATTGGGATTGGAGATGCCCCAGCCGGCCACCAGGCCCAGCATGTGGGGGGACGGGCCTTCAGGCTCAAGCCTTGGTAGGCAGACAGGCATAACGTGGGGTCCCAGGGGCACGGGCTCCTGCAGCTGCACTAGAGCTATATCGTGGTTGTAGTTTTGAATGTTGAAGTCTGGGTGGAGCACCACTCGGGCAGCTGAGCTGTTGACTGCCCCTGATTTGTCCCGCACATCATGCAAGCCCAGGTAGACGGTGACATGCTCCTTGGAGACTGGTATCACCGTGGTGTCTCTACGCTGGGAGCGCAGTACATGAGCTGCTGTGAGGATCCAGGACTCAGAGAGCAGGGCCCCACTCCCAAACCACTTGTCGTTTGGCACTCTCGAAGTGTCCTCCACCACTATCAGGGCCTGCCATGGGAAGAGGCCGGGCTCAGCATTTCGGCCCCCGATGATCCTCTTGACCAGGCTTGGCAGGGAGCGGGAGGGCTGACCACACTCTGTAAGGAGAAAGAGGGAACAGGGACAAGAGACAGAGACTGGTCAGGTCAGCCATATGACAGAAGCCACAAAGAGAAATTCACGTGTCATCTACTATAGATTATGCCACCATGGGACCCTAGCCTGCCTGGGTCATCCTAGCCTGGAAGAGCTCTACTCAGGGTCATTTTGGGTCTACGTCTCTCTAGGCTGGCCCATCTCTAGTCTGGCTCTTCTGTAGCTGGGACCCTCTCTGGACTGGACCACTCTGCTCGGGCTTTCTCTATCCTGAACCACCTCTGGCTAAGACCACCTGTGACTCGGACCATTGACAGCCATCTATTTCTAGTAGTGGACACTTATCCCCTTCCTTCTCTAGAAAGGCAGGTCTTATTTCAGAAGTTGTCCATGCTATGGGAACCTAGAAAGCTTCTGAAAGTTTTCTTTCCATGGGGACAGAGAGATGGAAGGAACCTAAAAAACCATCTAGCAGGCCACAGCAAACGCTAGACTGGTAACAAAGATGCTGGAAGTCTTGACCTGGCTTTTCTCTTCCATTTCCCTTGTGACTCTGAGTCAGTAAATTTCCCTCTCTGGATCTCAATTTTTGATCTGTCAAACGAGGCATTTGGTCACAATGATCTCCAGGGATCCTTCAAATTCCAGGGATCCTTTAATTTTCGTTTTATTTGCCTTAGCCATCACCATTTTCTAGGTGAGTAAACCTCCTGAGTTTGAGTGACTAGCCTAAAGGGATACGACTCTTAAGTCAGATAGCAGGAGCTTAACTAGATTCTAAGTCTAGTATCCCACACTAACTCAATAGATATTAAGACCATGGGCATAGGGCCTTAAACCTTTTCTTCTCTGTCCTAAAAGAATCTTGCTATAAATTGGTACCCATGGATTAAGGCCCAGGGCATCCAGGGTTGGGGAAAGATGGCATAATCTATAAGCAATGATGCATGGACCCTACTCTGGGCCACCCATCATTGCACCCAGGAGCTGTGTAGTACCTTTAGGGGAAGGAGAAAGATCTGAGCAAACTTCATTCCACTGAGTTGCACCCTGAGCATGCACATGCACCACCAGCCTCCTGCAGCCAAATGCCTCTGGCCCATGAGCAGGTCTTCGGCACCAGGCCCCCGCTGGCTAAGAACATGCTTGCACGGCCCTCCCAGGCACGGTGCTTGGGTCTTGGAGGTAGACCTACTGTGAGTGTGGGCCTCCTCCTGGTTCCAAATGGCCAGACTACACTCCTTGGCCTGGGCGCTTTTGACAATCCTTTAGACACCATGGAACATTTGAGTTTTCTTGGCAACTTTGGGAGAGCAGGCTTTTAGCAACCTAATGCTTTTCAGATGCTCTTCTTCCTGAGGCCAAATGCTTCTTGCTTGATCCTGGGGCACCCTGCCATTCACCCCAGGCCAGATGTGAACTGGTCTTTGTAACTCTCTGTGGCCTGGCCTTTCAAAGTTGAGGGTCAGCCTTCCAATTACAAGTAGCAAACTGCAAGGCAACATCTCAACGCAGCTCTGCGATTGGTCCTACATATATTTAGTGCTTCAAGGCCCTCATCTGGTAAGGGACACGTCTGTGACTTGGTCCATGGTCACAACAAAGCCAGTACTAAACGGTACCTTTCTCCAACCAAGGTGCCAGTGGCACACTGCAGGTCACAGATCAGATCTGGAGAAACCTTGGAGAACAGCTAATTTACAGATGGAAACGGGAAAGTTCAGAGAAAGCAATGACTTACTCAGAGTTGTTAGAGGGAAAGCCAGAACTCGAGCTTGTTTGTCCTGAGTCTAGCTTCATATCTCCACTGAAATCTGTTTTCTCCTTGATGTGTTCTTGTCCTTTTAAGAGGTTGAATGATGCAACAAGCCCTTGGGAGAGCTCATTGAAATGGGGTCATTCTTATTGGCTGCTGCCATTCCCCACCCAGTCTTTCCTGGGAGAAAGGAATCTTCTTGAAATGTTATAGCTTTGGCTATGCTGAAGCCAGATTTGGGTTCTAGAGGATAGTGGTTAGTGAGGGAGGGTCTTTAAAGAAAAATGTGATGCTCTAGGATTCAAGGTATCTGAGGATGGCATAAAACATGACCATGGTAAAAGAATGGCTCGGCATTGCTTATGTTGCCATCAAAAGTATTGAGTTCACCTTTCAGCTCTGCCCCTAATTTTCTACAAGTAGCCTTGCGCAAATCACTACACTATTCTGATACTTAGTTTTCTCATTTATAAAATAAGGGGGCAAGTAATATTTGCTTAGCAGGCCCCCTGAAATGGTGGGCCTTATGACAATAGATGAGATGGCCTTCTCCATCCTGGCCTGCATCCTGGTTCAATCACACAGTGTTTTGCGAAGAGAGACTTTACAAATTTCTGGCCTGGTTCAATGATACACCATGGTTCTGCCCAACACTTGGTGTTAAAAAGAATTTCATGACTCATTGTATCCAAGATGCTTTGTACTAACATAGAGGATGATGACCATTAAAAATCATAGAATAGCTGGGCGCAGTGGCTCATGCCTATAATCCCGGCACTTTGGGAAGCCGAGGTAGGAGGATCACCTGAGGTTGGGAGTTCGAGACCAGCCTGACCAACATGGAGAAACCCTGTCTCTACTAAAAATACGAAGAAAAAAAAAAATAGTTGGGCATGGTGGCGCATGCCTGTAATCCCAGCTACTCGGGAGGCTGAGGCAAGAGAATTGCTTGAACCCAGGAGGCAGAGGTTGCAGTGAGCTGAGATTGCACCATTGCACTGCAGCCTGAGCAGCAAGAGTGAAACTCTGTCTCAAGAAAAGAGTCATAGAATATCACAGGTCTCTTGGTCCTGATGCTTTACTTCTGAGGTATGGGATCCCAGACCCAGAGATGTGAAATTACTTACCAAAGATCACAGTTAGGAAATGGCAGCATCAGTATTAGTACCTAGGGCCCTGACTCTTTGCCCAGGGCTTCTTCCCCTTCCTGAGGTGGCCACATGGCTTTCCAGCATGGAATCTATCCCTAGCTTTCTTTGGCTCACATAGTCTTTTAGCAAAATGGGGATTAGATCCTCTGGTTTGCTACAGCTCCACCATTCCTCTCTTCTCTGAGGCTTCACTGCCTGGAGTCCTTGGGTGTACTTCTGGGCAAGCCTAATTGAGGTAAGTGGAATCAGCAGAATGGGTGGGATGAACATTCCCTTATTCCACATCCTCATAAGTTTTTCTTAGAAATAAAGACCTCTTATGTGAAGCCTTCCTGGTCAGTTCTTACCCCTCCACTCATAGACAACCAGACATTGTTACTTCCTTCTTCTCTGGGATCCCATAGCACCTGTGATGGTCAAAACCTGACTCTCAAATGCTAACACATTCTTCACTTCTTAAGGATGAATAGTAGACAACTCCATAGCCTTCCATTTTAGTGTCTAATCTGATATGTAGAAGCCTCCTGATATGGTTTGGCTATGTCTCAAACTGGCTATGTCCCATTTCTCTCTTGTCTGCCACCATGTAAGATATGCCTTTCACCTTTGGCCATGATTGTGAGGCCTCTCCAGCCATGCGGAACTGTGAGTCCAATAACCTCTTTTTCTGTATCAATTACCAGTCTTGGGTATGTCTTTATCAGCAGTGTGAGAACAGACTAATATACCTACTGTGTACTGGTATACCTGCTTTATACTGTATACTGTAGGGTTACTGAAATGTACCGTTAATATAATATACTACGTCAGTTTACCCAACATTCTCATTCAGCAAAATACAAATATCACCCAATGCTTAACCATATTGCAAATTTCCTGCTGTTTTTGCAAACATGCAGATGGAATTAGACAAGGCACTTAATTTTCAGTATTCCTCAATGCTGTCTTGAGTGATTGCGTCATTAAACTACTGTCATTCTTATTTTTTCTAAAAAAAAATTACCATGTTGTGAATATTAAATTTAATTTTTTTGTAGATTATTTGTTTAACCCTAGAGTGTGCATTTTGGGGTTATACTTTTCTAAGTCAACTTGAGTAGCTACACAGTGTGATTGCAGTGCAAATCACCCATACTATTTATTTATTTATTTGTTTATTTATTTTTCAAGACAGAGTCTAGCTCTGGTGCCCAGGCTGGAGTGCAATGGTGCAATCTCGGCTCACTGCAGCCTCTGCCTCCTGGGTTCAAGCAATTCTCCTGTCTCAGTCTCCCGAGTAGCTGGGATTACACATGTGCGCCACGACGCCTGGCTACTTTTTTTTTGTATTTTTAGTATAGATGGGGTTCCACCATGTTGACCAGGCTGGTCTTGAACTCCGGACCTCAGATGATCCACCCGCCTTGGCCTCCCAAAGTGCTGGGATTACAGGCGTGAGCTACCACGCCCGGCCTATACTTTTAATGCTAAAGCAAATGTCCCCAAAATCTGTATGCACAGTAACACTTCCTGTCACCACAAAATTTTCTTTCCATTTTAAAGTGGAGTCAGTAAGTAAACCATGGGAAAGGCAGCAGTTGGAAAGGCTTGACCACATTGCTGTTTGGAAGAAAGAATTTCTCACTCTGTCTTATCATGATGTTGTTTGTCTTATCATCTCCTTGATAGCATGGTGAGTGCTTGAGGACAGGGTACCCACTTTTTCAATTTCCCTGGCAGGACAGCAGATGCACGCACAAACTGTGTTCTATGAAAAAGCTTGTGGCAAGGACACAGAGAGGGGACAGGAGGGCTCTCAGAGTGACGGAGCAGGCAGAAAATACAGGCTGGTTTGAGAAGGTGTGAAGCAGGGCTTCTCTGACCCTTAACCTTTTGAAGACGCCTCCCAAAAAGCAACCAAAGCATCACCTCCCCTGTCCCCCATCTCCCTGTTAACAGCCAGAAGACCTGGGGTCCTAGAGCCTTGGATGGAAAACCATGAGGCAAAGGATTTGGAGGGTGAGGTACCTGGAAGGCAGGTGGGCAGGCTTCTCCCCAATACTTTATTCATCCAGACTCCTTGGGCAGAACAGGTATATATACCTGGATTAGTGAAAGAGGTTAGGAGAAAAGGGAGAAAATGGTTGATTTGCAGCACATGGAAAATAGATCTGGGTACTTAATTTCTCTCAAGTGAGTTATTACAAAAGTCCTCCAAATGGTCATCTAGGCTCAGATACGATTGTCTCTGAGCCTAGATGTACTAAGAAGAATGAGGAAGAAAGTGGAGGAATGTGGCAGGTAGTCTCTGGGATATAATCCTCCAAAGGGGCCAATTAACCTCCAAATGTCTTCAGATACCCACAGGGGTACCATCCTAGTCCTTCTATCAAACTCCCTTTGCAACCTGAAGGATCTTTCTAAAACGGGAATCTGACCATGTCCTTTCTTAGCTCAGAATCACCAATGGCTGGCTGTCACCCTCAAAAATAAACACCACGCTCTTCAGCATGGTGTCTGTCTAAAGCTCTGGGGAGTCCCACTCCTGCCTGGCTGAGGGCTGCTCCCCTCCCCACCCCACGCTGCCCAGGTCCTGGAAGGCATTTCCCCCTCACTTGTCACAAAGACCTGGGCTTACATGGCTCTTTGTTGCACAGATGCCCTTTCCTTTCTTCTCCATTTGACAGACTCTTTCATAAGCATACATTTGTGACCACCATCTCATTGGAGTTTCAAAATAGCTCTAAGAGCTTCATCACTGTTCCTTCTTTTAAAAATGAGGACTTCGGGCCAGGTGCGGTGGCTCACGCTTGTAATCCCAGCGCTTTGGGAGGCCGAGGTGGACGGATCACTTGAGGTCAGGAGTTCAAGACCAGCCTGACCAACATAGCAAAAGCCCGTCTCCACTAAAAATACAAAAATTAGCTGGGCATGGTGGCAAGTTTTTATAATCACAGCTACTTGGGAGGCTGAGGCAAGATAATTGCTTGAACCCAGGAGGTCGAGGTTGCAGTGAGCCGAGATCATGCTACTGCACTCCAGCCTGGGTGACAGAGTGAGACCCTGTCTCAAAAACAAAAAACAAAAAAAAAAAATGAGAAGGAGTTGGAGGCTTAGATGAGTCAGGAGAATGTTCTCAGGGCTTGCATGCCAGAGAGGCAGAGCTGATGGGCCCTCCTTTCTCCCTGAGAGCTCCTTTTCTGCTAGGGACTGTGAGTGCGTGTGAGGGGGTGTTGGGCTGCCACAAGGCAGGGAGAGGCGGGTTATGTCTCTAAGCCATTCTCCTCCCAGTTCCTCCCAAACCCCCAGTGTGGCCAAGGGACAGGTTATTGCAAGTCCTTCACCCTCTGGCCAGTGTGCTGCTGCCCAGTCCCTGGGGCAGCCAGGGGTCTCTGCCAGGTGGCATGGATGAGGTCTGGACAGGGACTGCTGTAGCTGTGGCTGTGCTTGAGCTGTGGTCAGGGGATATGTTGGGCTCCCTGAGGAGGCAAAGGATCTGCTCCTTACTCCCCAACCCTGCCTGGACCCCTGTCCATATCAGCGGAACAGGTCTTTGAAGGAAGGTCCCTTACCTGCTGACTGGGTCTGGCCTGGTGAGATGTTGCCCTCACCCAGAAGCCAAGGCAGAGACTGGGTGAAGCAGTAATACTGGCCATTTTTTGGAAACCCCAACTCAGCCTCAGACCACATGAAGGAGTTTAACTTGGGGTATTCCAGGCTTCCTTTAGCGTCTCGTTTCTTCCCTTAGTTGTGTCAATGTGTGACTCCTTCACGCTCCCACCAACAACTCATTAGTAAATCAGTGCTAGATTTAAAGTTAAAAACAAAAAAGCCTGGGTTTTGGTCTTGAGACTGTTTCTGCATCTCCACATGGACACAGTAACACAAGCTCATGGAAAGTGAGAACCTGAGGAGATGTGTGAGTGACACGTTTTGCATTATCTGGCTCTGCACACTTATGAGCAGTTCTTCCTTTCAGAGCTGCCTCGGCCTCCAGCCCAACCCTGAGGCCCCGAGAGTGTGAAACAGGAGTGGGGTGGCTCAGCATGGAGGGCTTACCTGTGATATTGTTGAGCATCTTGTAATAGGGCTCCTGGCAGGAGTATCTGATCTCAGACTTGTATGTGGTGAGGTTGTTCCTTGTGGAGAAGGTGACCAGCCCGTGTTCCAGCTCTCCTGGGGCTCTACAGTCTACAACTGAGAGAGAAGAAGTGAGAACCCTCGACTGCCTTTTGCTCATCTTCTTCTGGCTATCTGATGGATCTGTGTCATGCAGATGTACAGGTTGTGCACTGCACACAATTCCAGAAAGCAATATTATAATGCCTCTGAAGGGTGCCCCTGGGATGTGCAGTGTACAACCTGTGAAGCTACCAGTGGTCCTGCTTTTGAGGTCTCTCCCATTCATTATGGTACTACTGTGTGGTCAGCTCACCTGGCCAGTGTCAATTTTGGGTAGGAGAAGGTCTCCTGAGGTTTAAACAGACTCCAGCCTCTTACCCACCAGGGCCTCTTTCTTTGACTTCTAGTTTTATTGTACAATCCTCTCTGCCTCTTCTGCCCAAGGATGAAACCCTTGGCTTAGCGAGAAAATTATAGCTGACGTAAACCAAATAATCTTTGTTCTTCTAGTCCCAATCCTAGGCTGAATAATAGCAGCTAATATGCTCACATTGGAGTCTGGCACAAAAAATAAAAAAAAAACCCAGCTCCTGTATGAGTACACAGCCCCACCCTGCTGCCTCCCCAGGCAGCTTGCTTGGCCCTAGAAACCAGGAGGCAGGGTTGGAGGCAGATCAGCTTTCAGCCTTCCCCTGTTCATTTTCTACAATTGTTGATGGCCAGATGTTGGAGCCATAATTCCCAGTACAGGACATGACTAAAGATGCCTGCTCCTCAGAGGTGGTCTTTGGGGAGCTTTCCAGTCCAGCTCAGTCTTAGGGGAGTTGTCAGCACTGATGGAGCCCAGGGTGAGTCAGCTGAGAGTCAGGGCATCTTTTCATGGCCACATCAGAGACTCTGGACCCAAATTTGTCAATCTTTTCATTCTTAAGAAAATCCTAATCTTAGGTATAACAGCCTACGCCAGAGTTGAAGAATCATAGATGAATCATAGACTGTCACAGCTGGAAAGAAACCTGAAGTAGGCAATCTAGAATGTTCTCTTTATTTTATCTATGAGCCCAGAGAGGAGATTTGACTTGTCTAAGGTCATACAACAAGTTACTGTCAGAGTGAGAGCAAGATTTGACCTCAAACCCAGTGCTGTTTTAGTAAATGGAACTAGTAGTTCTTAAGGATCTGTTTTCCAGTTAAATGGCCTATTTTAGCTGGCCAATGGTGGACATCAATTGTCAGAATTTCCAGAGCCCTGGTAAAATTTCCAAAGTTCCATGTCCTCCTGAATTTTACCTGGTCATTTTGGGAAATAGTGAGACGTAATTTACCCCTGAGTGCCATTTAGACATTGTGATTTTGACTTTAGGACTCCAAATTCATCTTTTTGATTAGCTAGAAAGTCCACTCAAAATGTAAATAATTCCAAGTCCCTCCAGGTTGGAGGAAAAGATGAAGGAAGGGAGGAAATACAGGTACTTCTTATCCACAAAGAAGGCAAACCAAGACAACAGGTTTTGTCCTGGCACCCAGTCCAATTACCCTGGACAAATCATCTCCATTTGTTTTGATAACCCAAAAGTAGAGACACTCTTCCACTTTGTGAGGTAAACGTGTGCAGCTCAACACTAGGATAATGACCAATAATATTTATTATTTAAATACTATAAACAGTTTAAATTCTGCTAAAGCAGATTTTTCCTCCTTTTTTAGAAAACACCATTGACTTGGTACCTAGGTATTGGCGTTACTCATCTCCCTTAACTTTGGTCCAGCAGTTTGTTTTGCCTAAACTAATCTCAAGACCTGACCACCTAGTTTAGGAATTCCAGGGTTGGCCTTAGCATGGCTAGATAGTGGGGTCCTCGGAGCCTGTTATGTGGCTGATGCTGGCGGAGAGATATTTTCTGGGTGGAGGACCTACTTTCACATCACTTCAGAGAAGTAACTTTGTCCACTGATACAGCTGGCCCTACAACTGGGTAGAGGGGGTGATAAATAGTGGAACATAGAGGGTCTTGGCAACGTGGAGGGGCACACTTTCTTCCCAAATCCATAGTGGCAGGGAAAAAGCCATGTCTCTCTGGGACACGGAAGTGACTTTCCATCACAAGAGGCCTTGAGCAGGTCTGTCTGGCACAGTCAGCACACACTAGACCCTGCTTCCGCCGTTGGCCTATGCTCTTTGCTTTAGGAAGGGTGTTACCCTTTTCTGTAAAGTCCTGTCTGGCCAGATCCGCACTCTGGAATCAAAACACCCTTCTCTTTCCCCTTGCCTTGGCGGTACCGCCCAACACCCTATCTCCACGGTAATTCCTTGCTGCCACTTATTTTCCTCCAGACACACCTTGCTTGACCTGCAGATCCAAGTGTGCTTTGCTGTATTGGGGGGCTTCCTAGAGAACGATATGCAATCAGATAATCCTGGCACTCAGGCCTGGGGTTTTGGGCTCTAGCCCCTTCCTTGGCCTCATCTTCTTTCCTCCCCTCAGTGTACCCACCCTCCAAACACCAGCTCCTTCAGTGTGCTCCCCTGCTGCCTCCAGCTCCCAGGCCTTGCTGGTGCCATCCCTGTTGCCCAGGGCACCCTATGTCCATGCTCTGGCCACCCTGGAGTCTTGATGAAACACTGCTTCTTCTTGAAAGCCTTTCTAATTCTAACTGGACAGGGCTGCTTCCTTGTTTCTTTGATGGGATGTATCTGATGTTGTCTGCATCAAAGCTATTACAATTATTTGGGTGCATATCAAATCTTCCTCTTAAATTCTGATTCCCTGTATGGCACTGAGTAAGATTGCTGTTAATACTTTGTGGGTTTAAAGACATTTATTCAACGGACACTTGTCTTTAGTAGCCAGCCCATCTCTTCTTTCAGTGGTGGCTCTAGCCAAGAATGGCACCTCGGTCTCCAGACTGCCCAGGGTTCTCCCCTCACCGCACAGCCATTTAATCACCAAATAGATCGGGCAGTCCATTTAATGCAAAGTTTCTCTGACATGTGTACCCAGATCTTCAGACGGAAGCAGAGATTCCAGCTGCCACTCCCCAGCCCTTTCTCTGTCACTGTTTAGGACCTGTGATGTCCCATGGCACAGAGCTGGGGCTACTGCTTTCAGGTGTGATACCTATCTTTTTAAAATTTTTAATCAGCGAATTTTAAGAAACATAGGACTCGTAAGCCCCAGAAGACAGAACCTCTAATGATGACATTTCAGCCCCATGCTAGGTAGGGGTAGAAGGGATACTTTTGTGAATGAGAAAACATTCAGATTCTCAAAAATCCACACTCTGTGAGTTATTATTTGCTTTACCTACTCATGGTGGTTAAGAAAGCAGCAACAGGTAACACCTTCGGATTCATAAAGTCACAGGCAGTCTGGCTTATTTAAACTTGACATGTAGAATGGATTAGAAACCACTTTGATCTGGTCAGCCTGAGGCCACATGATTATATATTCAATCTTATGTCTCTAAGGCCAAGGGCATTTTTTTTTTCCTTTGAGAAGAGCACAGTCCACTCAGAGGTGCTAAAATAAATCCCACATTTTTTTTTCATTATTTTCAGGAGTAGTGTTTGAATGATGGGTGAACCCTCAAGTGGCGAATTTGTTTTCACACACGTAGCAGCTTCAACTGCTGAGATCATGTTGCCTTGTTCAGCACCCATTCTAATCCACACTGAAAGGGGCACGGGAGTGTTGTTGGATGGGGAGGGGTGGTGCAGCTGTGGGCCCTGGGGGTCTTGGGAGTGATCCATTTCTGGATGTCTGCATTGTGTGGGGTCTCGTCATTCACTCTGTCACTTGCTCTGACTTGAGTTCGCTCTCCAGATCGATTTCGTTTTCTGCCACTATGGTGAAGATCAAAGAGGGATCAAGAGATACAGAGGAAGGAAGCAGAGAAAGGAAGAGAAAGAGAGAGAGAGAGAAATTAGCAAGCAAAGCAGAAACAGTTTATGCAGGAAATACAGAAATCACTTCACCAGAATTGATTAAGAATGCATAGTTTAGGTACAGCCAGTGCGAAGAACAGTTTGGGATTGTGGAATCTGTATCATTCTGAGAATTTGCAGAGTCATACATCCTGGCTCATGAGGATTATAAAATTCTGCCCTGGAGGGAGCGTTGCCTGCATCTGGTCCAAACCCTGACTTGACGGCATTCAGAGTAGAACAGGGCTTGTCCAGGGGCCACCACAGCAAGGTGGAGGCCAGAACAACAACCCGTAATTCCCAGCTTCTTTTCGAGTGCACGTTTCTTTACCACACAGTGCACACCCCTTGTCTGTTTCCAGCCCTGTACTCCATAATCCCTGGGGACTCTCAACTCCTCAGTCCTGTCCTTGCCTCTCCCCTAGGACCTAGCACAGTGCCTGGTATAGAGAGATGCTCAATAAATACCTGAGTAAGCAAAGATGCTGGGTATGCCTGAATGGGAATTCTGATCGTCTTAATCCAGCCTATTTGGGAGAATAGGGTCATATGATGGAAACAGTTCCTCTTTACTACAAAATGACAGGGTGTTCTGTTGTACGCTAATGTAAGTCAGAAAAAAATATTAGTCAGGGAAAAATTATTAATGTTTCCTACTTTCCAAAAATATGAATGAGAGAAACAAAACCACTTCCTAGTGAGGGGATTGGGTTGGGGTGGGAGATGTTTGTTGATCTTTTGCACGTTTCTGGCCCTCCATGGGTATGGTATGTATATTAACCCAGCTAATCCCCAAAGCAATCTTGAGGGTGGGAAACTGAGGCCAAAGAGTCTGAGTACACTGATCAGGGACTCTCAGCTGGTAGAGTCTGCATTTGAATCTAGAACTTCCTAATTCCAAAGCCTGATTCTATCCAAAACACCTCATATCCTCCTTTACCTTCTCCTTCTACATGGCCCTTGCTTTGTTCTGCAGAGTGCTTTGCTTAGAACCTAGTCACAGCACTGTGCCTCGAGCCTGGGATTGGAGGAGGTGGTGACTGTGGCCACCAGCACTTGAGTTCCTCCATGCCTGGACCTTGTCTTTTCCATCTGACTTCCCTATGGAACTCTGCAGAGGCATCCAGTCAACATTTGTTGAAACATTTTGTTAAAGTCATAAAATGCCCCCTCCTTCCCCACGCTAGGCTCTGACCCCAGCCACATCATAGGAAAAGGAAAAATTTCATCATATGAAAAGGAAAAGAACAAGCATATTTTACTTCAAAGTTCTTCCTGGGATTTGCCTTAAGGGAATGTCCCCCTTGGGACAATGGGAGGAGATATGTCTGCGTACTGAATCAAGGCCATGTAGGAGAAAGGGACGAGGATAGCGCTCCAGTTTGCATGAAAAGTCATGAAAAGAAGATGGGTGGGACCAACTCCAATCCAGTTTTTTTTTTTTTTTGAGACAGAGTCTTGCTCTGCCACCCAGGTTGGAGTGCAGTGGCACAATCTCGGCTCACTGCTATCTCCGTCTCCTGGGTTCCAGCAATTCTCCTGCCTCAGCCTCCCGAGTAGCTGGGATTATAGGTATGTGCCACCATGCCTGGATAATTTTTGTATTTTTAGTAGAGACTGAGTTTCACCATGTTGGCCAGGCTGGTCTTGAACTCTGGAACTCAAGTGATCCACCTGCCTCTTCCTCCCAAAGTGCTGGGATTACAGGTGTGAGCCACCACGCCAGGCTCTAATTCTTGACCTCACCTCTCCATCATAAAGCAAATTATCCCTTCTCTCTCCCTTCCTTCCCTGACTATTTCTGTCACTGTGCCTCCTCTCATCAATGCTGGCCATAGATAAGTTTCTAAAACTGTGGTCCTTATAAGTCTTTCATTGAAATCACCTGGGTGTTGAGGGGTGGTTGCAGAGGGTGGTGGTGAGGTGAAGTGGTTGGAAGCTTGTATTTTTACAAAGCTCAGTAGATGATTTATATAGACTATATCATTTTAAAACCATTGGCACATCTTCTAAAATATAAAGCTAGTCCAAACTCCTTATTTTATAGTTGAGGGGAAGGATCTTATTCACAATCACAGAGTTGGTTAGGGGCAGAGCCAAGGCAAGATCTTACTCTGGGTCCTAGGAGCCAGTGAAGAGCTGTATCGTTTGCTTCATGCAGGCCAACTGTGCTGACCCCACAGCCCTTCCTATACAGCCCTAAATCATGAGCTGTCTCAGAAGATGTAGGGGATATGGCTGATGGCCAAGTGAAGACTAGCAAGGTCACTCAGCTCTGGGCACCAGCACCAAACTAGTTTCCTGAATTAGCAATTGCCAAAGCTGGTTTCGAGCCTGGACACATGTTATTCCTTTAGTAAGCTTGGCAACCCACCTATGGACTGAAGTAAAATTGGTGTTTAACAAAGTACTGGGCCCACAAGTTTCTTTTGGGATCCAAACGTCTTATTGCCAAAAGGGGCATTGATATTCTTTTTTCCCCCAACCCTTGTGTGTCTGTTAAATTTCTGCTCCCATCCCCTTCAGAGTGCTCCTGCCACACTTTCACCCTTGCATGCTCCGCTCGGATCCCGCCAGTGTTGGGGAGCTCAGTATCTTTATAACAACCCATTAGGCTTTCTTACTTTTGCAGGTGGGAATCTTGTTACTCCACGTCCCGTCCTTCAGACACTCAATCTGGAATGTGTCCATCTCCACATTATCCTGGGAAGAGACAGGAAGAAGGGAGTGGGAAGAAGGAGGCGGGGGTGATGTTAGGGGTTTTTTCCTAGCAAAACCAACTCAAGTTCCACACGTGTCTGTCCTCGACTGAGATTTTCCACCCATGGGCCTCCAAGGGCAAGCTTGAAGGTAGGGGAAAGATACACGCTGAATTCATATTCCCTTTTCATATTCTGGAGAGGGGCAAGGGCTGTGTGCAAGAAGGGGTTTGGGCAACTATCTCTGAAGGGAAGACTGTAAGCATTGACTCCTTTTTCAGAGCAGTGCTTCTCAAACCAGGGCAAGCAGTCAGCATCTCCTAGAGGGCTTGTTAAAACACAGGTGGCCGGGCTTCTCCCCAGAGTTTCTGATTCAGTGGGGCTGGCTTACCCAAGCATTTGCATTTCTAACAAGTTCCCAGTGATGCTGAGACTGAGGACCCCTCTTTGAGAACCATTCCTTGGAAGCAGTGGTCCTTTAGCTTGGCTGCACCAATCACTGGTCCCCGTCCCAAAAAGTCTGCTTTAACTGATCTCAGGTGAGAGCTGGGAGGTGATTTTTTTTTTTTAAGCTAACAATGTGATTCCTAGAACTACTGCTTCAGGGGGTGGGAGAGTAAGGGGAACCCATCTGTTCCTTTTTTTATTTTTTGAGACAGAGTTTTGCTCTTGTCACCCAGGCTGAAGTGCAATGGCACAATCTCGGCTCACTGCTACCTCCGCCTCTCAGATTCAAGCTATTCTCCTGCCTCAGCCTCCCGAGTAGCTGGGATTACAGGCTCCCGCCACCACACCCGGCTATTTTTTTATTATTTAGTAGTGATAGAGTTTCACCATATTGGCCAGGCTGGTCCTGAGATCAGGTGATCAACCCACCCGGGCCTCCCAAAGTGCTGGGATTACAGGCGTGAGCCACTGCACTTGGCCCCATCTGCTACTTTTAAACCGTCTACTTCCTTTCCTGGTATCCCACTCCACTCCCCTCTATAAGCCGATGAACTTTGTCACAGTTCTCAGCCTTGATTATAGAGCTGTATGGATGCATATTTTAAAAATTCAAACCAGCTCATGCTCTGATTAAAAAATAAAACAAATTTTTGTGCCACTTTCAGAGTGTGAGACCGCCTGGGACACACGCTTTGGAATTTCTGGAGCATTTGAGAAGTTGATGGGCAGCTAGGAAATTCTGTGCTGGAACTATGACAAGTGCTGGCAGCCCATCTGCCCTGGGGAGGTGCCGGTTTGGAGAGTTTCTGCGGCCTGCTCACTACCCTTTCCCAGGCAGGGCTCTGCACCTTCAGCACTTTGTAGCCTGTGTCACAGCTGATGAGCACTTGGTCTTTGAAGGAATACTTGGCTTGGGAGGGCTCGATTTTCCCATGGACAGGAGGTTGTAGCTCTGGGCACTCATTTCCTGGTGGGGAGCAAATGAAAGAACAGCAGGTGAGAAAATGAGAATTCTGGCCTTAAAGGGCCAGTCCCTAGAAAGCAAGGCCTGATGAAGGTGAATAAAACATGGAACTGGGTATTGGAGGCATGGATCTTCCGGGCCCTTCAAGAGACTAATTCTGGAGCCGTGAATAGGGCAGTTTCCAACTTGGACCACCACGTCCTTACTTGTGGAATGAAATGGTCGACCAGATGATTTCAGTAAAACTCAGGATTGGGAGGAATGTTAAATGTCATTAAATCCAATCCTTGTCTGATGCTTCTCTTACAACATCCTCTGCAGTAGACACCAAACATACTGCTCAGCTAGGAGCCCCACCAGGTCCAAACCTGCATCCCTCCTCCCTCAGCCACTACCAGCATCCTTCCTCCCTCAGCCACCACCCCTGGGAGGGCTAAGCATGGCGGCTCAGGGACACAGTGACAGGGAGCTTAACGCCTCCCTAACCTGTACCTTTCAGGCTCAGACTCTGCTGATTACATGAACATTGTTTTCCTTCTTAGCTGAAATTTGCGCCCCTGTAATTTTTACTCATTTGTCCTCTCAGGCCACCAAGGATGACCCAAATAGCTCTTTTTTCCCAAGGCCCTTCTTCAAAGCATCAGAAAGGCTGTGATCATATGCCTCTGAGTCCTCTCCTCGAAAAGCTAAATCTGACAGGCTTTTCAGGCCTGGGCCTATCCCTGACACTTTTTCTAAGACAAACTCTCCTTTGTTAAGATCCTGTCTGCTCTCCCCCATCTGGGCAGTGTATGTGATAATGTAGGCAGGGCCAGAGTTTTAGTCTATGAACTGGATTATTCATGCCCAGCTGTGATCTTTTGTCACTGATGTTCACCCTCTCCTTCCTTGAGTTCCTACAGACCAGTTACTGCAGGTTGAATGGCTTGATCAAGGTTTGGGCCAGGACTGACTGACTTGAGGGACGGGGGCATGAGATCCATGGGCTTTGCCGATGGGGGACCCAGAAGGAGGCAAAGCACCATAGTGAAACATTCTGGGCTACAGGCCCATATCCAAATTCTAACCCTAGACTTGGAGAAGGCTGGAGCTGAAAAGGCCCTCCTCCCCAAGTCTACGGAATCACTGTGTGAGGTGTAGAGTTCAGGAAACAAGATTTCTTTTTCTTTAATCTCTCTATGTGATACTGAGGTACATGTTTTGAAAACCACCTGTCTAGTCCACCCAACATTATTGTTGCCCTTGCCCCCATTTTATAGATGGAAAACTGAGTCAGGAAAGAGCACGTGCCTTGATCCCCAGCTGCTTGATTGGGAGTCCCATCAGGTCCCTAGAGGAGACCCAAGCTTGCACCCCTCCTCCCTTAGCCACTGCTTCTGCAAGGGCTAAGCACAGCGGCTCAGTGTAACCTGGGAGGGAAGAGGTTACCTGCAGCCCTGTATGAGAGCCTCCAGCCCCGGTTCTCTCCCGAGTTGTCACTATGGAACAGGATCAGGACACTGTGGCTCTGGGTGTTGATGGGTTCTGGGGCTTTCTCTCCACAGAAAGGCCCCAGAACTTTTGGACCAACTTTGATCTGCAAAATATGAGAGAGAGAAAGAGAGGGTTCCATCTGAGCAGCCAACATGGCCTCTGCAGGTAATACCTCTCCACTGCACTCTGGGTTTTCTGGAAGCTTCCATATGAACCCTTGATATTCACTTAGGTTTTTAATGAGCCGTACCATTCACCAAATGGTTTCATCTTCATTCTCTCTTTTATAATTTACAATGACTCTTGAAGTGGACAAGGCAGGTTAATAATCCTCTACTTAACTATTTACAATAGCAAAGGTATACAACCAAATCAAATGCCCATCAGTGATAGACTGGCATTGATGTGGCATATATACACTGTGGAATACTATGCAGCCATACAAAAGGATTAATTCATGTTCTTTGCAGAGACATGGATGAAGCTGGAAGTCATCATTCTCAGCAAACTAACACAGGAAAAGAAAACCAAACACCACATATTCTCACTCATAAGTGGGAGTTGAACAATGAGAACACATGGACACAGGGAGGGGAACATCACACATTGGGGCCTGTCAGAGGGTGGCGGGGCAAGGGGAGGGAGTAAATTAGGACAAGTACCTAATGCATGTGGGGCTTAAAACCTAGGTGACACATTGATGGGTGCAGCAAACCACCATGGCACGTGTATACCTATGTAACAAACCTGCACGTTCTGCATGTGTATCCCGGTACTTAAATTGAAAAAAAATATCTTCTGCTTAAAGATGAACATACTGTGGCTCAGAGAAGGGCAGAGTGCTGTCTGGTGCATAAAGCAGAGACAATCTCTGCTGTCAAAAAACCTGCAGTCTAGTTGGGGGAGACTAACAACAAATAATAAACAAAATAATTATAGGGCATCATAAGGGTAATAAAAATAATCAGGATGATATGCATATATAATAGAAATATATGCTATATGTTTATAATTGACGTAAAATCTATGTAACCTATAGAAGTAATCATTCCTATAATGATAATATAATAGACAATAACTTTAATTAGGTGATCAAGGCAAGGGCTTTCCCTTAGGTAGCATTGAGAATCTGAGATACATAGGATGAGTATGAGCTTATTTGAAGAGAAGGGAAGAACACTTTCTAGGGAGAGAAAACTGCATATGTAAAGATCAAGGCCAAGGTTGGTAAAGAGCTTGCCTCATGTTAGGAATAGGCAGGAAGCCAGGCTGGCTGGGCAGTGGGAGTGCCATGGCATGAGGTTGGACAACAGACAAAGGCCAAGTTGTGCTGAGAAATTTAGGTTTAATTTAAAGTGCAAACTCAATCGAATCTAGCTTTTATAAAGATCACCCTCAATGCTATGGGAGAATAGATTGTGTAGGGCAAGAGTGGAAGCAAAAAAGAAAACAAAAAAACAAAACAAAAAAACCTGTTGGGAAGTTTTGCAGCTGAGCAGAAGGGAGGTGATGAGTTTGCAGTAGGTTGGGGGCAGTAGGGAAGAGAAGGCAATAGGCTCTATTATCTGATCCAGATTCCCCACCATTCATTCCTGGTTCTTTTCTATGTCTTTAATGCACTTTTCTCCCATCTTTGAGGGCCATGACTCGTTACCAATCATTTGGTGACCTCTACAATCCCAAGTGACATCTTTGTCCTGTCCTTATTGAGGAGAGGGGGAAACAAATGAAGCCCCAAGAGGTTGCATGCTTGGATAAGGCTCCCATGTGTAGCTCCTGAGACACTATGGCAGGCAGAATTCTAGATTGAAGGTTCACCTTCACCCCTGGAGTTACTTTGTGATGATGTTATGTTAAATGGCAAAAGGGATTTTGCAGGTGTGTTAAAGTTATTCATTAGTTGACCTAAAATGAGGGACATTATCTGGGTGGGCTTAACCCAATCACATGAGCCCATTCCACACAGTTTCCTTCTGCTGGTAGCAGCAGCAGAAGTCAGGGAGATTTGAAGTGTGACAGGAATTTGATGGAAGGGACTGTCTGTGATGGCAGGGACCAATGTGAAAGTATCTAAGCACAACTTCTAGAGCTGAGAGCCACCACTGGCTGACAGCCAGGAAGAAGAAGGGAATTTTAGTCTTACATCTGCAAGGAACTGAATTCTGCCAAGAACTTAAATGATCCTGGAAGTTGATTCCTCTCCAGAGTCTTTAGATAAGAGCTCCATCAGCTGACTCCTTGATTTCAGTTTCATGAGACCCTGAACAAAGAATCCCATTGTGCTCACTGGGACTTCTGACCGACACAATGCTGGGATAAGAAATTGGCATTGTTTTAAGCTGTTATGTTTGTGGCACTTTGCTAACACAGCAAAATAGAAAACCCATGGCCTGTGCTTCCTGCTATCACCCTCCAGCCAAGCTGCCTCTTAGCCTCTGTATCCAAGTAGGGGACAGGCCAGGCTCTAAGTTCGAGAGTTTTCTTTTGTGTCCTCTCAGGCTTTTCTGCCTCTCTCACTGTTGACAGCTTTCTCCTGGGCGGTCTCATTTTCTGGCTCTTTCTGACCTCTTTTGTGGGTTCCTCTTCCTCCATCTAGGTCTCATAATCTATTGTGTTCTGGCTTCCTTTTTTTTTCTTTTCTAGGACGTCCCATTTCCACAGTTTAAATCAGCACCTCTTTAAACATTTGACGGCACCCATCTTTATCCCCAGCTCAGTGTCTCTTCTGAGCTAGACCCTAATATTCAGCTCTACTTGGATGTTTTGGCTGTTCACTCTATAAGAATTTCTGGTTTTACTTTCCAGACGTCTCAAAAATATCTCCCCATTATCCCAGCCATGGCTCAAATTCTTAATTATAATATTGAAATAACCACAAATAGAGTAGTTATTTGCCTGTGGTATTTCTTCCATCTTTATCTGCCTTCGACATAGCCTTTTCCCGCAAGTGGGCCCAGCAGCATAATTTGTGGGGTCTGGGGCAAAATGAAAATACGGGGCCCCTTATTTAAAACAAATTAAAAATTTCATACATTCTTCTTTGCCTTGGTAGTTGGCTAAAAAAATAAACAGAAGAAACATAGTTTCATATGTTTATTAAACCAAGCATGAGGCCCTTCTGTGCACAGGGCCCTATGTGACAGCATGGGATGCATGCTCATGAGGCTGGGCATGCCAGCAACAGACCTCTCTAAAATGCAGATTCAACCTTACGACTCTCCTCCTCAAGCCTCCCTGATGGCCGGGGGGGTCATTTCAGATCAGAGATTCCTGGAATAGATCTAATTAAGATGGTAGATATTATTTTAAATAATGCCTTTTTGAGAAACTAGCTGCTTGGCTCTCTATCCTGGGAGAAGAAGGTGAAGATTCCGCAATATCAATTTTCCCAACTAAGCCAAGATTTTCCAGCATCTCCAGGACAAGTGTTCATTGCAGGCTCACCTTGATGTAGTCATAGGGGCAGGGCACCTCAGGATGGTCCTCAATGTCAAATATGTCCTCAAACTGCAGGTTGACCATGAAACCCTCCTCCAGCTCGATGGTATAGAGGCATTCAGAGCTCTTGGGGTAAGGGTTTGGGAAGTCAGGGCTGGTGATCACCCCAGTCCTTTGAGTGAAGAGGTTGTCACTGCACTCCACTGTTGGAAACATAGCAGAGAAGATGGCACATCGCAACCATGGCCACAGCAAGCCTTGCTTATCTGTTACTATATGAGTTTCCCGATGGTCCCAAGCAGTAGACAGGGAAGGTATCAGCATCTCCATTTTACAGATGGGAAAAATGAAGCTCAATGAAAGGAAATGATTTATCCAAGGTCTCATGTCTAGCAATTTACCGAGTTGAGACTCAAACACAGATTTTCTAATTGTCTGTCCAGGGCTGTTTACCCTGTGTGAAGATCCTTCTCATGAGATCCTCTGGTTTGGGGGTCAGGGAGAGGGATCTGAGAGGGAAGGTGGATGGAGATGGAGTGGTCAGAGGGATGCCTGGACCTCTGTGATCCTGCCCTCCCTCCACCCAGAACTTCAGGAGATCCCTCATCTCCTATAGGCCCTTGACACACAACCTCACTTTCTAGCCCCTGTCTTTGTTTTGTTTTTCTTTATGGTGCTATTCACTGTGTTCAATTAAATGTAGCCTTAAGCTTCCTTCTTACTTATTTTATTTTATTTTATTTTATTTTATGAGTCAGGACCTTACTCTGTCACCTAGGTTGGAGTGCAGTGGTGCCGTCTCGGCCGACTGCAACCTCTGCCTCCTGGACTCAAGTGATCTTCCCACCTCAGTCTCCTAAATAGCTGGGACTACAGGCACATGCCACCATACCTGGCTGATTTTTGTAGTTTTTCTAGAGATGGGGCCTTGCTATGTTGCCTAGGCTGATCTCAAATTCCTAGACTCAAGCCATCTGCCTGCCTTGGCCTCCCAAAGTGCTGAGATTACAGGTGTGAGCCACCTTGCCTGGCCTTCTTACATATTTTAAATTCAGCCTGAAGGGTTCTGCATACATGGTGAACTGTAACCTAATTGGATTTTTAAGTAGACTGTAATCTACTCTTCTACTGTAAACTAAAAATAAAATCCTAAGCCCTCCACTGACCTAATGGGCCCCCTGAGGCAAAAGGATCTCCAGAAAAACCTTAAAACGGAATTCCTGGCCATGATGGAGTGGTAGGTTAGACACTCCTTCTATATCCCTGTTTCTCTGCAGTTTGGACACAACAAGTGACCAGCATTAATGTTAAATAGAGATCATGAGAGTGAGAAAACAGACTACTCGTGGCAATAAAATACCAAATTGTAAATGATGAAGGACCTAAGGCCATGCCAGGCAAGGGTTAAGTCATGCATCCCTGCACTGAAAGCAGAAACTATGTTCTAACGATGCTACAAAGTTTTTCTTTATCTCCAGCAGCTGAACAAGCACTGGCCTTGCAATAAGTGATATGAAAACAATTTTCAGCTCTACCAGATGCCGACTGGCTGATCCCCACCCTGTTCCACAAGCCATAACTATGGCTTTGAATGAACAAGACATCGATTTCAGTCACTTTCTCTTGATAAGAGACTTCTGACCATGGCCTGGTTCTGGCCAGTTTACAGAGGCTGCACACCTGAATGCCTCCTGTCCTGAAAAGACGTTTGGACCCTAACTGTAATACATTTATTGTGAAGTCTCCATCCCAAAATGAACATGGGTCATATGTTGCATGCATGTGTGTTCAATATGCATGTGTCAGGACCACTGTCATAAATATTCATAGCTCCTCCTGTAACCTGTTGAATATGTTTAGCCAACCTGTTCAGCATAAAGCTCCTACCTCAATCCCTCCTCCTTTTAAGTGCCTGTCTCTGGTCTTGGCTGGAGGTGGTGCTTCCCAGACTATGAGGATGGCCACCTGCTGTAAGACTTTATAAGGAATAAAATCTCCTCTCTTTTTCTAAACTTACAGATTTGAAATCTTGATTTTTAAGTTAACAGTACCAATCACGGAGTTTTGGCCAGTCACGGGTGGCCATCTGTTCAAACTATGTTCGAACAAGGCAAATACCAAGCTGTAAGTAATTTGGCTGTTTCTGTACCTGACTTCCATTTGCTGTCCATCACTTTTCTTCTACTTCCCATAAATCTTATCCAGCATGAGCAACCCTGGAGTTGGTCTGAACATATTCTGGTGGTGGTAGGGTGGGTGGAGGGGAGGATTCTCAAATTGTTCTTTGCTCAGTTAAACTCTGTTAAATTTAATTTGTCTCAAGTTTTTCTTTTAACAGCTCCTTTACTTTATGTTTATTTTCTTGCTCCCGCTGGACTACAAACTCTGTGAGTGCAGGAATTCTGCCTCGTTCCCCACTGCATTTACTGCACCCAAGAATCCACTGTCCTGGGAACCTAGACATGACTTTAGCCCTGCTAAGGAACCTTGATTTGTCACTAAGACTTTACCCTTGGGCCAGTTCATCCTAGATCTGGGATGTCAATGTTTCTACGCCCTTGTTCATTCTGCTTATTTGCAAATGAGAAAACTGTGGTTCTGAAAAAGGGGGCATGACTAACTTAAAGTTTCACAGCTATGAGCTGCAGGACAACGTGAAGGTAGAAGTCTCCTGAGTTCCCAACTGTTTTCATTTTTTACCCCAAGCATTCTCATGGGGGCGATCTTGCCCTCAAGAAAGCTAAAATTCCTTCTTGGTGGGGAAGGTCTTACTTTTTAAATGCACAATATACAGATGGACATACAGTACATAAACAGATATATAGTATATCTGTGGTATTAAAATTTCATGGAGGAGAGAGGAACTATTAGGAAAATGATATTTTAAAAAGCTCCTGGTGACGGGTGAAAATGAAGAAAATGAGTGAGAAAGCTTGCTCTGCCCTAAGCATTCTTGGCCCTGACTGTACTCAACACATAGTAGACACTCAGTAAAAACTCAACTGAATAAAAGCAATAGAAAACATATACTCTTTAAGAAAAATCCTGTACTTGCCTGTTCTTTTGGTTTTAGATCGCTTTATACTGATGTGTTATATAGGGTTTTATTCAGAAGCAAATAGCAGCTTTTGAAGGAGGAAGAAAAAGAACTTTTGTCTCCAGACTTGCCCTCCTCCAGTGATCCCTCACCGAGCTTCCAAGTGAGATTTCAAGCATAGATGCTTATCCTGGACCACACTAATCTACTGGCTGTTCCCTGAAACATTGCAAGTTCTATCACACCTCTGATTGTTTGCAGAAGCTGTTCTCTCCACCTGGAAGGCCCTTCTTCTCCTTATTCTTTCATCTCTGTCAAGGGTCACAACTCTTGGAGGTGTTTGCCTGCACAGGTCTGATTGTGCTACGTCCATACTTCCATTATGTAAATGTAATGGAAACATTACTGTTAAAATAGAGACCATAAGACACTTCACCATTTGCTTACGTGGCCATTACCCTACTAGCCCAAGAGCTCCTCCTAGAAAGTGGCTAAACCCTTCCATTTCTCCATCCCTCCCTAAGCACGAGACTACAGCATAGTACGTATGTTGATGAGAGATGAAAACAAAGAGAGAAGGAATGGGAAGTTTTCTGGCTGTTTCTGTTTGCCTCTTTCCTCTCTGTCTTCTTCCCTTTGGACTGAGGTCTCTTTATTGTAGAGGAACTTAGGGGCTATGGAAAAAAAGAGGAAAAGGGGCTGCTGGGTAAAGCATAATTCATGACTCATAGAGAAAGAACTGGGAAACCCCAGTTTTCCCCTAACTTGACCAGACCAATTGCCTACAATAGGATAAGACACAGCAACCTATATAGCAAAAATGCTGCCCAGAAAGAAAGATGGCCAGATAGTCTACAGCTTCTCTCCTTTGGGAACCCAAGTTTGGGTTTCCAGGCTGGGTGGACATTTCTGCATCTTCATCCACGTGGGGTCTGAGGTGCATCATTGACTTCATTTTTACTTATTTCTACTGCATATCTGTCTTTCTCTGAGCCTCATCTAAGGTTATTGAGGATGTGGCCTATAAGGGCAATGCATAGAATCATTAGTAGTCTCTACCTCGGCAGGTCCTGTTGTCTGTGTGGAGGATGTAGCCGAAGCGGCAGGAGCAGTAGTAGCCGCCAATGTAGTTGTGGCAGTAGTGGTCACAGGACAGCTCCTCATCCTCCCTCTCCTTGCACTCGTCCACATCTGTAGGGCAGGTAAAGCCTCTCCATCAATACATGCATGATGATGAAGACTATAGCCAACATTTATAGAGCACTTGATATGGGCCATTCACTATGTTGGGAGACTCATGCATTCTCTCATTTAATCCTCACGTACAGCCCAGAGGTAGCCATTATCTTCACTTTACAGACTAGGAAACTGGAACTCAGAGAGGTTAGGCAACTTGCCCAAGGTCACAAAGAGCCAAGTTCAAACCCAGGCAACCTGACTTCTGGTGGGACCACTATCCTCTAACAGTCATAATAATAATAACCGTGTGTGGGATAACAACCTCATGAAGTATTGCACATTTGTTACTACGCATTCTGTTACTATTCATTCTATGGAGGATGAAATGGAGACATGGAGGCATTAACGAACTTAGAGTCACACAGATAGTAAGTGGCAGACCCGGGATTTAAATCCAGACAAGCTGGGTACAGAGCTTGTGCTCTTAACTTCTACTTCATGCTTTCTTTCTTTCTGCCCCTAATGTGGGTCAAGCCCTGTCCTAGGCATTTGAATGTACATTTCCCCAAAAGGGATAAACAAATGGCCAATAAGCACATGAAAAGATGTTCAACACTGCTAGTCATTAAGGGAATGTAATTTAAACCACAATCAGGTACCACTACATGCCCACCAGAGTGATTAAAATTTTAAAAAATTGACAACATCTAATGTTGGTGCAGATGTGGAGCAGCCAGAACTCTCATACATTGGGGGACAGATAGAAAATGGTACATTTGCTTTGGAAAAGGTCTGGCAATGTCTCATAAAGCTAAACATATACCTATCCTCTGACCCAGCAATTCTTCTCTTATATATTTACTCAATAGAATTGAAAACATTTGTTTGCAAAAAGACTTGTACAAGAAGGTTCATAAAAACTTTATTAGTGAGAGCCAAAAAATGGCTGGATCCCAAGTAGCCATCAATGAGAGAATGAGTAAACATACTTTAGTATTTTCGTACAATGGAAAATTACTCTGCCGGCAAAAGGAGCAAATTACTGATGCATGCGACACATAAATGAACTTCAAAAACATGATGCTGAGTAAAAGAATCCTAATCCCCAAAATATATTCTCTACGTGTTCATTTAAATGAAGTTTTAGAAGAGGCAAGAATTAATCTATAGCAGAAAAAAAAATGAAAACAGTTGTTTCCTCTAAGGGAAGTGGGAGCAGAGATTGACTGGGCGGGGACACAAAGGAACCCTCTGGGCTGGTGGTAAAGTTCAATGTCTTGTTAGAGGTTTGGGTTACACACAAATATAGATTTTTCAAAATTCAACAAATGTATACATGAGATATGTGTATTTCATTTTATGTCAATTTTACACAAAAAGAAAAAATACTGTGAACAAATATTGAACTCTAGCAAGATAATATGCATGCTGAATTATTTAGGAAGAAGTATACTGATGTCTGCAATTTACGTTAAAACACTTTGTGAAAGATGAATTGCTGGATGGATAGAGGATAGATGGATGGATAGATATGTGATAGAGCAAATGCAGTAAGACATTAATGGTAGAATCTATGTGGTGCATAATCTATGTGGTGCATACACAGATTTCCATCGTAAAGGAGAGGGCCCAGGCAGTTTTTATCTTGGGAGAGAGAGAGAGACCTGAGGATGAGTCGGTTCTCCAACTTACCCACAGCCATGTAGTGGGCATCAAAGCCTGTGAATCGCTCCTCATTGGAGAAATCTGACCGGAAAGTGATAGACATGAAGGAGCCAGGGGAGAGGACCACCTCCTGGCCGGGAGTCTGCTCTGTGTCTGTGGTCTCCCTGCCACAGAAGGTTGCCAGCACCTGGTCCTCAGTTTCTACCTTTGAGGTCAAAGAGAAAGGGAACAAGGTGAGCAGTTTCCCAGCTAGGCTTCTTTTCTTATCTTTAAAAGAAAAAGGAAGAGGCCACCCAAGAGTAGGTTAGTCAGCCTGAGAAACCCAAAGAAAGGAGGTTAAGGATTCTTGAGAAAAGATGCATTACAGGTTAAGTCAATGTGGACATCTGATCAGTTTCATTCATCTTATTTAGTTCCATTAGAAGTAACTTGATATTTGTCGTTCCTGTCAATAACGAAAAGGCTTATTTATTAAAAACAACTCAATATGAAAGTTTTAAAAAAGTTAGATGACCTCACAGACAGATTCTCTGTGCAACAGGAACTTACCACATTTCCAAAGAATGGAAACTGTATACACAATATAAGTCATTCATTGATATCCAAGGTGTGCCTACTGCCCAGCATGAGATGGAGGTGATGAGAGATAGTCAGACACAGTTCTGTGCACAGGACAGCAGTGTTGAGGTTGAGGAACACAGACACAGGCAGGCATTATACAGTGTGACAAGTGCTTTCATACAAGCAGAAGCACTGCATATGCACTCAAAGCAGGCAAACAATCCACATTAGAATATAAGCTACAGGAGAGGACTTTATTTTCTTTAGAGATGTGTCTTCAGTTCATGGAACAGGACCTGGCACATAGTAGTTATCCAATAAACATTTGTTTACAAGAACTAAAAGTACAAGCCCCATTCTGTGAACAGTGAGTAGCCAGGGAGTCTGTGGGGATTGTAGGAGGACATGTACTTGGAAGGATACATGGAAAGTAAATTATGGTTGACCTTGAATGCCATTAATTCTGTGAGTAAGTGGAAGACACTGAAAACTTTGAAGCAGGAAAGTCATGTAGTGAACATTAATGTTTAATAGGCAGTCTTAATACAGAACTATTTATTGGAATCATCCAAAAGTAGTTTGAATGTGTATCTCGGTGTATACATGTTCGTGTTAAGACTTAGATGCAAAAAACATGCCTGTTTGCTAAAAGAATTCCCTTCTTTGGAAGAGCCAGAGGCTCTGAGCGAATTCAGAGATCCAGGCAAAGATCCTAAACTGGTGGCCTAAAGCTGATTTTATGTGAGACAGGAGTTTGGGAAGCTTCATATGATAGCTAGTTGGTATATTTATTTGAGTATGAATTCTTGACGTACCTACTCAATTATCTTATACCTAATCCAATTCTTATAAGTTGTATTTGTGTTTGCAACCTCTGGACTAATATTTTAGCCAAGATGCATGAAAAAAATCTCTTACCAAGAATGACTCCTGCTGCCTTTCAGAGTCATTAAAGTTCTCAAAGGCTGCCTATCTCTAGTAGCTTCTAATGAATTCATTGTTTTGTTCATTAGCTTAGCATGTCAGAAATATCTTGACATTTGACACTTCTGTTTTGAAACTAATGGTTTATTTATTTAAAATAAGTGGGAGTTTTAAGGAAAAACAATTTGCCCTGGCAACAAAACACAACTACAATTAATCACTAACTTTGGGAATTGAAGTGTAAACAGAAGATGAGATCATGGCTTTGCTATTTATTCCTCTTCTCTGCAGATACCAGCCAAACTCACACCAGTCTTGTTACTGTAGAATGTGCCTATCTGCACACAGCTGAAATGTCACTTCCTTGAACCCCCAGCTGCTGTGTTATTTTGTCTGACTCAGTTTTCCAGATAGTCAAAGGTTTACCTAACTATAACTAAAAATTTTCTTTTCGGTGTAACACTTTTTTAAAAAGTTCTTTAAAGAAGTACCCACTTTTTCTAGTGAAACATGCTAACCCTTTCTTGGTGATCCAGGGACATTGTTATGAATGTCAGCCATTGTGATACTACATTAAAGTGATAATCTTGGGGATATGGAGTTGTGTAATGTCGCTTGACCTGCATTAAACATTGCCAGACTATAAAGCCTTGAAATTCTGAAATCTTCTTTATGTGGTGTTTTATTTCTTGTCTTTTTATCAGCCTATTCACTGTACTTTTCTGTCTGCTTATTTTTAATATGTTGTGAATTAGAAACCAGTTAAACTGTTCTTGCTAGAACTTAATAAAAAAAGGCTAAATAGATTTAGAATGAGGGCCTGGGAAAGGGATTCTTCTGTGAGTAACTGCATGAACTAGAGTATACCATCTTGGTGACCTCTGCTTTGGAGTAATATGATATATAGGATCCTGGCAGTTGAAGGTCCTGGGTCCTGTTCCTGACACTGCCATATCCTGCATTTTGGGCCATCTCCTTTCTAGCTCTCAGTTATTCACCTGTAAACACAGGGGTTTAGACTAGCTGAGCTCTAGATTCCTTTCCAATTCAGACATAGTAGTCATCATAGTCTAACAGAATTCTAACAAATCATCATAGTCATATATTATATAAACCAACCAGAAGATGGTAAGCAGGAATTTTAACACTCAGATTACTGCCTGTTGATGAACTTGAACTTGTTAATAATGAATAGTCATGCCTTGGGCATTAACAGTTCCAGCTACACAGCCTTCTTTCTGTAACTTGGTATCCCCAAGGCCTCTTGGGTTTTGCAATGACTGGGACATGAACTTTTCAATGAACCCACTGGTCATTTGGATTAGGGAGATACTACTTAGGGTCTGCGATAAATGACCTCCCTCCTTGTAATGTCTGGGCTTAAGGACCTTTTCGTAATGGCAGATAAATGGTTATCACCTGCAGAGCCACAGTATTCCAGAGAACAGGAAGCATGCCCCAGCTGAGGCCCATGGGAAAATCTGAGCCATACATCCTTTTAGAAGCAGAGAAGAGAAGGCCAGTAGCCTGGGGCCCTGGGAATTCAGCCTGTAGCTCAGAATAGAGTCCTGGAATATCAGAGCTGGGCAGGACCTTTAAGAGCTATTTCTATCTGCCTCCTTCTATAGGAAACAGAGGTCAAGAGAGGGGAAGTGACTTGCTCAAGACTGGAGAGATAACACGAACATTTTCTGATATCAGTTTTGCTTTGGGAACTATTCTGAGATGAGAGAAAAGAACCCACCAACCCAGAGAGTACATGACTAAAGACACAGACACTTGGCCAAACAATTTTCCTGGCTCAAAGGGCTCTTGAAACCTTATCTTGGGTGCATGGACTGTCTCTTAGAGAGGATGTAGCTCACTGACAGCTCCAGTCATAACTTAAACAGAGGGGTCACTGGCCCTGGTTAACATTTGCATCCTCTGCTGTGGAGTATGGAGTTCTATAAAGATCATTTACCTCTGAGTATAGGCGGATTGAGACCTAGCTTCTATTTGGACTGTCCCGTCTCAGAGGTCATCATATCAACATGATGGAGAGACCTTATCAAGTGAAGATAAAACATTCGTAATAATAGAGACCCACACGGCTGAGAATCATAAACTCTTCATTTTTCTATTTCTTCTTGTGGGCAACTGTGTCCTTATAGACTTGCTATTTAGGACACCAACATGTGGCTATATGTCCTCAATTTGTTTTCTTTGAACTCAATTCACCAAATATGTATGTACTAAGTTCTGTCTACATTTTAATGTGAAGTATGCCAAAAATTATTTATTTGTTATACGAGCTTAATAAGCAAGTTCCCTGCCTCAGGAATGTAGAAGAATAAGATAAGTACTCAAAGGTATATGTGTTGGGGTATTGTCAGGGTATGGTAAGTGCAATCAAAGATAGGCTGCCCTGGGGGTTTAAGGAATGGAATGGATTGCATCCAGCTGAGGGGAATCAGAAAACATTTAGAAAGAAGAGAATAATCTTTGAGCTGGAGACTGAAACATGAATAGAATTTAGGCAGGTAGAAATCGTGGATGGATGGCAGGGGGTGGGTAGAGTATGTAGGGAGAGGAAATAGTGAAGGTCTGGGATATTCAAGTCTCAACTGCTTCTCCCCACTACCCATTGCCTGGTGTCAGAAAGGGGATCTGTTGAGGACAGAGAGCTGGGAAGGCAGATCTGAAAAGGAGAAGCCACGAGGCTTTGGTTTCCATGAGTTTCCTACCTCAGCAGAAACAGCACAAACCTCCTAGGCAAAACTATGGCAGGGCAGCAGGGGTTGACCAAATTTTTGTGGAAGGACAGATACTCTATGGAAGAACAGCTACTCTATGGAAGGACAGCTACTCTCACTATGTATGGCTGCTCTCTGCATGTCCATGAATTCATTACATCAGCTTAACAAATGCATTGACGGCTACCAACTGGCTCCTGAAAGCAGTGTATAGAGAAAGCAGCCCAGGAGGGATTGCTCTCCTTTTATAGATGAGGAAATTGAAGCCCAGATAATTTGAACAAATTGGGCAAGGTGACTGGTGGATCTAGTGAGTGGAGAATGAATCTTACGATAAATGAATCTAGTGAGTGATGGCTTTAGGTCCACAATTGCAACATCCTGATTCCCTAGCCAGTGCTCCTCTAAGACATTAGGCAAATAAACAAAGGCTGTCTTATAACCCAAATGCCTCATGACTTTGTTTGTCAATGTTCCCAAGCTAACTCCTGGAGCCTTTCTGAAATCTGCTCAGGGCCCTTGAGGAGCATTGCAGACCTAATTTAGGCAGACATTTAGGGAGTATGCTGGATTACCCTGTTGCCAGTTTAGTTACTCTGGGAGTTATGTGCCCCAGACTTTCTTTCCCTGTATAATTCCAGATTAGAGTTGGCCAAAAGAGGAATTTGTGCAAGTTTGAAAGGCAATAGTCATCACTCACTGAAGGTTGTTTTGTAATCACATACAGAGAAAGAAAGGTGTAGATGTGTCCAATACATCCTCACTTGCTCTCACATTCCTTTACTCTGAACCCAGCTCTTCTTTATAACTGCTAGCTCTGATGACCAACAGTGGCCCATGCCTATCACCAGATGCTTTCAGGTGAAACCACAGAGGTGGTAGCTGCTTATAGCCAACAGCTTCTCAGAGACCCCTTTCCATGAGCCTCCCCTTCATAATTGCACTTTGGCCCCTTAGGTAGAATTGACTTATCAGATTCCCTTGC